TGTGCACTTCTTCATGTTCTCTTGATGTATGTGCTGAGCTTAAACACTAATGCAAACAGTGCCCTTGGGCAGCTCACAGAAAAGTATTTACAGAATTGGGAAGGATGCACTGACATCCAGTGTGAAGCCTCAGATGATGCTCCTCCTGGAGATCAGCAGGCCATTAGGTCACAAGGAATTACAGTCTTTAAGAACTATAACAGTGGTAGCCAAAACCCATGTATTAAAGCCAACCATGTAGCACAGAATGAGCTGTCAAAATCTTCTGAGTGAGATGGATCATACACAAAGGGCAGTGTGCATATGAAATAGAGGGCAAGAAAAAAGGTGCAGTAAACAAGGATCCAACAGGCAAAATGAGGAAATCTCTGCCTCACCAACAGATAGAGTTCAGCCACAGAGGGCAGAGCTCTTCCTTGAACATAACAAAAGGCTGAGTAACTAAAGGAAAGGCACAGCTCCTCAGGCCCACCTGAGTTTTTAAAATGATTGTGTAGGAGTTTTTAGTTGTTTTCTAGAAATAAGGAAAGCCTTAATAAAGCATATGCATAGAACTTTCTAGTTTTATGAGATTCATTTTGGAACAGAGATTCTAGGAAAAAATAATAGTCCTTTCAGAGAATGAAGGTGTGTCACCCAGTGTGATTTATCCAAAAATAAAATTAATGCAAATACAAGGGATGGCTATGTACCACTTGAACAATAACAACTAGTAATAATTTTCAAAAATACCTGTTTCTAATCATAATCTGATGACAATCTTCAGATTCAAAAAAGTACCTTTAAATGTCATTGACTAAATTCAGATAATGATAGTGTACATTAAATAATCCTATAAACTGTTTGCAGATATTTCATTAATAGAAGCATTTTAAATATTTAAAAATTAAAATTTTAATAGAATTTTAAATTAAATCAGTAAATGACATGTTACTTTTGTTCAACTTTATTGAAATTATTTTTCAATTATTTATTATTAATTTAGTATGGATCATTTTTAAAGTTAAAAATGTTTAAATTTAAAAAAAGTTTAAATTTTTTAAAAATTTGGAATAATTATTTTGTTGCTTTAACTGTGCTCTATAGCAATTTAAATATTTTTAGTAATGAGAACAAATGTTTTTATCAAAAAAATCGTAAAGCCAGTAAATCAATCTTTCTCCTATTTCTTAACATGTCCACCAAAATCATCTATTTGATTTGAAAGTAACATGAAAAATAAATTTCAAATTTTGAGTAGCAATAACAATAGCAGAATCTAATTATTTAATTACTGCACATAGATAGCATCTAAGTTTAAATTATAGGGATTTTTACTGTCATACAAATTGCTACTTAGTCACTTAAAATTGTTTTTTTGGGGATTGTTTTCAGATATTTCTCTTATGGTTTGTTCCTGATTTCTAGGTAATGGCAATCAGTGTTACTGGACTAGAGGCATTTATTAGACTTTCTTCTTGGCAGATTTTGGCTCTCAAAGGCACTGAATAAAACACTGTAAAAGAACTTGCAAAAACAGAATTAGTAAATATGTCTGTAACTATGCCATGTGGTTTCTTTTGAAACCTGCCTGAGGAGAAAGTGGAAGAAAATATCTGTGGGTTTGTGTTTTTGGGTTGTGAGCTCTTTAGGAGTGCATAAGTGTGTTTCTGAAAGACAAGGGCAGCAATTTCAAAACTCTTATTTATACAACCAGCTACTGAAGTGTTATCAGGAATTTGCCTACATCTACTAAATATGGTGAACCTCTTTAAATCCCATTGATGGGGTTTTGGCTAAGGACTGTGTTGTAGTTAGGGCCTGGCGGTGCGGAAGAATTTGGGATGTAACGGAAAGCCAGTAACCCACCCCTCTTTCTAGGATAGTAAGTCCTTTTGTAATTAGCCAATAGCACCTAAGTGTGATGTAAGCAGATGGGAGTAACACAGTGAACCTAGGCTATAAAAATGTCAAATTTCCCTGCAACAAACACCATATACACCATCCATTACATTGATGTTGTGGGTTGTGGTCCGCCGGCTAGAGGTAGCCGCCGTGCTGGAGCTGGCCAGGGAGCCTACCTTGCTTAAAAACCCAACATCTGGTGCACGAAACCCGGGACAAAAAGTGGGAAGAAACATGAGAAGAAACTCACAAAGCAAGAATACCCTGGATCTGCGGACAGCGGCCAAGAGAGCTGGACTATTCTTGGCGTGGAAATCCTGGGCCCAGAAGAAAGATGGAATCACTGATAAAGGTCGTATCTGAACTATATAAGCAGTGGGGGATAGATTGTAAATCTAAGGATTTTATGCTTGCTGTTACACAGCTTTTACAAATGGATGTTATAGAGCAGCCAGTGGACATTCTTCACCCTGAGGTGTGGGAGAAATGTACCAGAGCTCTGGCTAATGAAACTGTAGATTCTGGTAATATGAAACATTTTAAGTCGTGGGGGAAGGTCGTTAAGGCCTTGAAAAAAGCTAGACAAAAGCAAGAAACCTGGATGGCAGCAAAAGACTGTCTCTTGGTCACCCCAAAACTCGGAGTCAGTGCTACAACACAAACTTTAGATGAGAGCAGCTCAGCTGAGCAGAAGGGGACACAGGAGGACGATATGCCTCCTAAAACCCCAAACCCTGAGCTGCCCTCAGAGGGACAACAGAAAGCAAGAGATTTTTGGAAAAATTTAACAGAAGAAGCTAAAAATGTAGCAAAGATAGTAAGAGGGAAAACATCCCCTGAGTGGCTTAAAGATGGCGCAGAGAAAAAAGTTGTAGAGCGGGAAAAATATGTCTCTAACAAAGAACAAAAGCTGGCCTTGGAAGATGAGCATGGCTGGGGGGTTGGGAAAGATAAGGAATGTGTAAGGAACAGCGGGGGATGGGTGCAGAATGATTGGAATGCGAAGTCAGTGGAAAGAGGGGGGAGCAGAAAGCAGAGCAAAGCCTGGAGTGAGAGGCGGGATGAAAGGCGGAGTGGAGGGTGGAACGAAAGGCGTGGAGAGCCAGGGGGGAGGGAACAGCCCTCCCACAGGGGTGGTAGGAGGGGCCGGAGCCCAAGAAAAAGGCACAGCAAACAGGAAGCAGCCAGCCAGTCGAGTTCTGGCTCTGATGGAGATACGAGTGACGAAGAGTCAGAACCCAACTCCTCAGAAGAGGAAACAATAAAGATAAACAAGAACACCCCCCCACACACACACATTAAAAAAGAACTGAGAGAGGACACCCCTCTCACAGACTGGGTACAGATAAGAGCAGAATGTGCCACCTGGGTTCTTCCAGACGCGTTAGTATTCCCAGTCAGGGTGTCTGAGGGGTGGCAAAGGGTTTATTCACCAATAAATCCTAAAGAAGTTAAAACGCTTGTTAAAGCAGTTTCAGAAAAAGGGCTTAATTCAGCCATGATCACCTCCCTTATCGATGGTTTTTTGGAGGTGGCGACCTGCTCCCTTTTGATATAAAACACATTTGCAAAATGTTTTTTGATGGAGCAGGGATGATTGTTGTTAAACAAGAATGGGAAGACAACTGTGCCAGATACCTAGCCCAAGTAAATGGAGCAGACCATCTACTATACGGTTCCAGCTTGCCACGATTAATGGGCACAGACCCAGCCATGGCTACACCTCAGGCACAAGCCCAGGATCTGCGAGCCCATGAAGTTATGACAACCACTTGTGCGGCCAGAGAAGCTATTCGCTCGGCCTCTAGAGTTGTTGCTAAGCCATCACCGTGGGCTACAATAAAACAAAAAGAAAGTGAGAGCTTTACACAATTTGTAGACCGCCTTCAGGTAGCTGTTGACTCCTCTTCCCTGACCCCAGAGGCAACAGGCCCAGTCATGGCAGACTGCTTACAACAGCAATGCAATTCGACAACCAAGGAAATCCTCCGATCACTACCGGCAGGGGCAAATATCGCAGAGATGATCAAACATATCGCGAGGGAGGAACAGGCAGTTTCCATTCAAACTGCAATCTGCACAGCAGTAGCTAACATGATGGCATGTTTCAAATGCGGTCAGGCAGATCATGTTGCTGCAAATTGCAGAAAGGGAGGGGCCCTGGCAGCACCCACCTCACAGCAGAACCAGCTTAAAGGACCATGCTGGGCTTGTGGGAAAAAGGGGCACCTTGCCAGAGAATGCAGATCCAAGGCTCAGGGAAATGGGAGGGGGAGAGGACAGCAGGGCCGCATCCAGTTCTCTCCCACTTGGGATGCGAGGTGGCCCAGCTATGCCAATCCTGCAAGAATCGAGCTGCTCCTGAACCCATTACCCCCCCCGAGAGGCAACCACTTTTGTAACCCAGCCAGTTACTCAGCCAACCCTGCCTTATCTGCCTCAGGGACAGTAGGGATCACATTTGGGGGACAGGACCCCTGGGTGGCCCTGGCAGTAAGGTGTGACAACCCGCCGGTGGTATGGGGGATTTGTACTCTTTATGACACCTCAGGTGATCAAAGTATCCCCTCTGGGTCCATCAGTGCTCCTTTTCTAATTGATACTGGGGCAGATGTCACAGTCATTCCGGAGACAAATTGGCCTCCTCTCTGGAAACTAGAGGATGCCCCCATGGTGGGCGGGGTTGGAGGGCTGTCACGAGCTCGGAGAAACACACAGCTAATAGCCATTACACTCCACACAGAAAAAGGGCCAGAGAAAACTATTGCCCTCTTCCCGTATGTCATGACAGGAATCCCAGCATTGCTGGGGAGAGACGCTGTAGCCTTGCTAAAAGCCAGGGTGACAAATTTACCCTAAGGGCCGCTGCTGTGCACCCGCTGCCACCAATCAAGCTTTCTTGGAAATCATCTGACCCAGTGTGGGTAGAGCAGTGGCCCCTGTCCAAGCCTCGATTAGATGCCCTTCTTGAGTTAGTTAACCATGAATTACAACAAGGTCACATAGAGTCATCTACTAGCCCGTGGAATACTCCTGTTTTTGTAATCCCTAAATGATCCGGAGAAGGGTTTCGCCTCCTCCACGATTTGCGTGAAGTGAATAAGAAAATTCAACCCATGGGACCTGTTCAAACATTGTTACCTATGAACTCTATGGTGCCAGAAGGCCAACCCTGTGCTGTTCTTGATATCAAAGACTGTTTCTTTTCTATATCCTTACATGAAGAAGACAAAGAGCAGTTTGCTTTCTCAGTGGTGTTTCTGAACAGCCAGCGCCCCAACCTATGCTTCCAGTGGAAAGTGCTGCCTCAGGGGATGGTCAACTCACCTACAATCTGCCAAATCACAGTCGATCAAGCGCTAGCACCGATCCATCATAGCAACTTGACTGCTACCATCATCCAGTACATGGATGACATCCTGATTGCTGCACCCTCGGGAGGTCAGGTAGACCAGTTAGTGTCAACAATCACAGAGACTCTAAAAACAAATGGCTTTGAAATTGAGAGTGTGAAAATAAAAAAGGGGCCGTGTGTAACCTTTTTGGGGGTGGGGATCACAGACTCTTACATATCCCCTCCCCAGATAAAGATCCGTCAGGACATTAAAACGCTCCATGACATGCAGCAGCTGGTGGGATCCCTGCAATGGCTCCGCAACATCGTCCTAATCCCACCTGAGAAGATGCCCCCCCTGTATGATCTCCTGAGAGGGAAAAATCCATGGGAACACAAAGCCCTGACAGCAGAAGCAATGAACTCTCTTGACTTCATCGAACAGCAGGTATCTTTAAGCTCTCTCGCCAGGTGGAAGCCCCAGGTACCACTCGATCTGTTCGTGCACTTCACAAAGGGAGGGGGGGTAGGAGCACTGGCTCAAGGCCCCCCAGAAAAAGCTCACCCAATACAGTGGATAGTCCTGGGAAAACAGACACGTGCATTTTCCCCAGGAGCTGAATACCTCAGCAGCCTCATTATGAAAGGCAGAAAACTTGCTCTGAAACATCTTGGCATTGAACCAGCCAGAATATTCTTGCCTTTCCGCAAGCAACTCTCTACACAGTCAACAGTGATGTCGGAATACCTGGCGACAGCCCTGGTCAAATTCAGCGGAGAGATTCAGTATTCTGCAAAGCCCCCTTGGACTCAGATGCTGGCTGTTGTCAACATGGACCTCCCACAAAAAGTCATAGACCGGCCCCAGCCAGGACCAACAGTTTTCACAGATGCATCCTCGACAACCTCCACTGCAGCTGCAATGTGGCAATCAGAGGACGAGTGGCACTGTGTCAAAGCGACTGATCGTACACTCTCAGTCCAGCAACTGGAAGTAGCAGCTGTAGTACTGGCATGCGGACTGTTCCAAACAGAGCATCTTAACATTGTAACTGATTCAATGTTTGTAGCCAAGCTTTGCCTCGCTAAGTCAGGACCCGGCATATCGACATCTACAGCAGCTTTGATGCTAGAAGAAGTGCTCTCCTCTCGAAAAGGTACCATATCAGTCATCCATGTTAACAGCCACAGTCCAATCAAAGGGTTCTTCCAAGTCGGCAACGACAAAGCAGATGCTGCCGCAAAAGGATTGTGGACCCTACAAGAAGCTCGTCAGCTACACGAAACCCTGCACATCGGAGCCAAAGCACTAGCAAAGAGATGTTGAATCTCAATTGCTGATGCAAAACATGTAGTAGCTTCCTGCCCTCACTGCCAAAAAGCACCATTGTGGTCCTGTAGAATCAACCCCAGAGGCCTAAAAGCCTCAGAGATATGGCAAACAGACTTTACATTGTGCCAGCTGTTGAAACCCTGAGCGTGGCTTGCGGTAACAGTGGATACATACAGCGGAATGATTGTAGCCACGCAGCGCCTGAAAACCAACTCCAAAGCAACTATCCAGCATTGGCTAACAGCCATGGCTTGGCTCAGCATCCCCAAGCAAATCAAAACAGACAATGGTGCAAATTTTATCTCAAAGCCGAGCCAGGAATTTGCCTCCAAATGGGGAATCACTCTAGTGCAAGGCATCCTGTACAATAGCACAGGACAAGCCATCGTTGAGCGAGCAAACCAAACCCTGAAAGCCAAGCTAGAAGTGTTAGCAAAGTCAGAAAGCTTTAACAATTCCATTCCCCAGGCAGACCAGGCGCGCTTGCTAGCAACTGCACTGTTAGCATTGAACCAATTCCCTAGGGGAGATGAAATAAACAGTCCCTCCCAAAAACACTGGGCCACTCGAGCTCTAGAAGAGGGCCCGC